CTGAGTATTTCACTTCAGCACTGCGCCTCCTCTGAGTCTGGGTATGATATTCTCTTTCCTTCTAGTTGCAGAATTTCCACTCAGCCAGCCCTCCTGTGGTTCTGGATGATGTCCGTTCCGTCTTCTAGGTGTATCCCTGAATTGGTTGTTTGAGGCAGCAATCTCCGGCGTTAACCTATGCCGCCATCTTGGTTTTCCTCTCAATTTTTAAAAAAGAAACTAAGGTATAGAGAAAGTAAATTAAGTGGTGGTATTTAGAGATAGGCAGCCTGGCTCTAGAGTCTAAGCTCTTAGCTACTACTCTACACTACAGAGTATATGAAGGGCTTTTATATACATACTAGAGGCCTGGTGCATGGATTCGTGCACCAGAGGGGTCCCTCGGCCTGGTGTGCAGGGACCAAGCCAAAACCAGCTCTCTGACATCCCCTGAGGGGTCTCAGATTGTGAGAAGGCAGTTCTCGGTGACACACCCGGACTCGGGCTCCATCCTCTCCGGTTCCAGCATATCACCCGAGAAGCACAGTTGTCAAGTGAATGCAGCTCGGCAGCTCCTGCATTGAGTGTCTGCCCCCTGGTGGTCAGTGTGCATCATAGCTACTGGTTGGTCAGCCTGTCAACCAGTTGGCCAGTCTGCTGGTCGCTTAGGCTTTTATATATATAGATACCCTCTACTCCCACCAGACTGACATACTCATGGGACCTGCCCCTTCCCACCCCCACTCTTACCAACACTGTTCTTCCCCTCTACCTCTCCACCAAATCCTAGTCAACCTTTCGGGCTTAGCTCTTCTAGGAAGGGAATTATCATTGGGTTAATGCTTACCATGTATCAATCAGAAGGCTGATGCTTTAGACACATTACCTCATTTAATCCTCACAACCCTGTGAGGCTGCTATTAACCATGCCCATTTCAGAGATAAGGAAAATGTAGTTCACAGAGTTAATTTGCCAATGGCCCACAGTTCTAAAGCACACACACTTTCCACTATACCTTCTAAGCTCCTTATGACCTATTCCTCACATTGAAATACTTACGTGTCTATTTGATTTTGCATTTTATTAAAAGCTGTTTCAAACTATGTATATGCCTTGTCTCTCCAACTGGACTCAGACTCTCACCCATGGGTGTCCCTTTTAGCACCTAACACATACCAAGGCACACAGTGGCCGCAGAGTTTTACCAAACCAAAGTAATAGGTCTGGGCTCAGCTAGAAGAGAGTACTGTTGTGCTCTATGTAAAGCTGGTAAACTCCTGGGCCTTAACCATACATAACTATTAATTTCTTCCAGAGCTGAGAAAAAAGTTCTCTTAACCAAGAAAATCACATAGTGAAGTCTATGAATCACTCTTGTTAGCAGCAATATGAAGATCCCAGAAAACAAGTAACAAAAAAAGAATTACAGTGGGTAGAGGTGTTTTTCTCCCTTCCCACTCTGTAGGGAACACAACTGGAATGATGCTCTATAACGAGTACACATAATTTCAGCTATAGAATGAGGGAATCCCAAGGGAAAGGTCAGCAAAAAAACAGCCAATCCTAAAGTTGTTCACAGAAAGCTCCCAGGGACACACAGAATAACATGGAAGCAAAACACTGGTCAAGGAAACATAGAATCTGAGCTCTAGTTCCAATTCATTCATTTATTCAAGAAATATTTATTGACAGTACTGAGGATACTAATCAATCTACTATGTAACCCGGACAGGTAAGTTACTTACTTTCTCTGAACTTCAATTTCTTCATCTTTAAAAAGAGCTTAATACTAGTAGGCACTTACCTGCTCATATCACAAGGTGTTGAGAGGATCAAATGAGAAAAGGACAGATTAACATCACGGACAAAATATAAAGCTGTATTTTTTTTTAATTTTATTGTTGCAATATTACAGATGTCTCCCATTTTCTCCCTTTTTGCCCCCCTCCACCCAAACCCTGCTTCACCCTAAGCCTTCCCATCCTATTGTCTGTGTCCATGGGTTATGCTATACATATATGTTCTTTGGTTAATCTCTTCCTGTCCCCTCCCCGCCAATCCCGTCCCACTGAAATCTGTTATTCTGTGCCTCCCATCCATACCACCGGACCTATTTTCTTAGTCAGTTTATTTTGTTCTTTAAATTATACTTGTGGGTTCATGTGATATTTATCTCTCTCAAACTGGCTTATTTCACTTAACATAATACTCTCCAGGTCCATCCATGCTGTCTCAAACAGTAAGAGATCCTTCTTTGTTACAGCTGCATAGTATTCCATTGTGTAAGTGGAATTTCTTACCCACTCATCTACTAATGGGCACTTGGGCTATTTCCAGATCTTAGCTATTGCAAACAATGCTTCCATGAACATAGAGGTGCATATATTCTTTCTGATTAGTGTTTTGGGATTCTTAGGATATATTCCCAGAAGTGGTATAGCTGGGTTAAATCACAGATCCATTTTTAATTTGTTGAGGAACCTCCATAATTTTTTCCACTATGGCTGTGTTCCCTGACTATGAAATATATTTTCCTACATAAAGAATACAAGATGTAGACCCGTTTGTTTATTTTTTATTTTGTTTCCCTTGCCCTAGGCAATGTATAGGTGAAAATATTGCTTGTTTCCCTTGCCCTAGGCAATATATAAGTGAAAATACATCAAATATCTGAGATTTTACTGCCTGTGGTTTCTTCTAGGATTTTTATGGTTTTGTGACTTACACTTAAGTCCTTTATCCATTTTGAGTTTATTCTTGTATATGATGTAAGTTGGTGATCCAGTTTCATTTTTTTTCATGTACCTGTGCAATTTTTCCAACACCATTTATTGAAGAGACTATCTTTACTCCATTGTATGCTCTTAACTCCTTTGTCAAATGTTAATTAGCTACTTTGGCATGGGTCGATTTCTAAGGTCTCTGTTCTGTTCCATTAAGTCTATATTCCTGTTCTTTTGCCAGTACCAGGCTGTTTTGATTACAATGGCTTTGTAGTATAGTTTGATATCTGGTATTGTGATCCCTCCAACTTTGTTCTTCTTTCTCAAGATTGCTGTGGCTGTTTGGGGCCTTTTTTGGTTCCATATAAATTTTTGGAATATCTGTTCTAGATCTGTGAAATATGCCGTTAAAGCTGTTGTTTGTTCTTTTAATTGTGATAAAGCATACAGAACATAAGAGGCTATATTTTATAGCTGTATTAATCTGGCCTAAAGGGAGAGCAGTGGTTGGGAGAAATGCAGAAATGAAATCAGTGATAACCTCAACTTCATCATAGTCATCCACTTTTCTGACCCCCTATTTGGCCTGTAAGATTTCCAGGAATCAGAGCACAAAGTCAGTTCTAGTATTTTCAGATTGGAAAGATCTAAAAGATGCATAAAAACTCAGAGCTACAGGATCTTTAGGGGCCAATTCATCCTAACCCTCACCCATCTCTCATCTTTCCTCCAGCCCATCACCAGATAATCATGATGTCACTGCCTGTGTGTACATACATCCACTGAGAGCCCCAGAGATCAAGCAATATTTTAAAAAACAGACTACATGGTCCAGATTCCCTTTCTCATATCTTGTAATGTTAAACTTACTCATTCTGGATGGTAGTCCTAATAAAAAAATTCATCATTTCCTAACAGCGGCCCAAGGTAGGTCTAGTGTCTATTTAACAGTTGTAATGTCAAAGCAGTCCTATCTTTGAGTGGCCCACTCCTTGTCCATGAGGGGTCTCTTTTAACTATATAAATATAAAGCAAGTGAGAAGAGGATGCAACATGATATTTTGTGACTTGACAAAGACTGTGTCCAATACCCCTTGGTATGCAAAGCTGGGGGAAATGAATACAAATATGTGCAGGATCCAAAGTTATTCCAGGCCTAGAAACTGAAACCTTGACCTCCCACTTTCTTTTGACATTCAATGCTACTAGAATTCTCTCACAGACTGAGATCCTAAGCCAAGTTAAAGGTGGGAAGGGTACTAACAGCCTATAGTAAGTACTCACACTAAGAAAAGAGAAAGTCTGAATGGGTGCTCCAAAATGATCATGGAAGAAGAATTGTTCTGTAACTGGAATGTGCCTAAAATCTAGAAATACTTCTAAACCAGCCAACTGGAGGATGTTGGGGTCCCTTCCTCCAGTAGATAAGCTTATGCATATATATGAACTTAAGAGCATTTATTTTGAAAACTCACGCTTAGTGGAGCCTAGGGCAGAAGTGACACTGAAGAAGCACTATCATCCTCCCACAAAGAACCACTAGAACTTTTGCAGAACCAAGTCCTCATGGCTACACTGCGGAAACAGCATACTCTGAGAGATCCATTTTTAAAAGCCATACTGCGTATCATCAACAGAAGCTTAAAAATAGGGCCCACTACCTGTTGCGCAACCTCAAGTTCCTGACGGATGCGTGTGCTCAGGCGAGCGAGAAGTCCCAAGACCACTTCACGTGGAGCAGTTCAAATTGGGTTCAAGTGCATGAGCACAAGTGCGTCCACGGTGCTGGCCTGTGTGCGTGCTGGCCTGCGTGCGTGAGGTCAAGGTGGTGCCAGGCGAACTGGTGCTGACGTTCCGCCCTATTCAGCAGGTCGCTGGTGCAGGTGATGAGCGCAATGGAGGGCTTCGCCACGGAGCCCGCAGTTCCTGGGTTGAGGGCCAAGGGCAAGGCAGTGCTGATGGCCATCCTGGACGGTGCCATGAGCATGGTGTCCGCCTAGGTCAGCGGTTCTCAACCTGTGGGTCGAGACCCCTTTGGGGGTCAAATGACCCTTTCACAGGAGTTGCCTAAGACCATCGGAAAACACATATATAATTACATATTGTTTTTGTGATTAATCATTGTGCTTTTTTTAAAATTAATTTGTAACAATAAAATTGGGGGTCACCACAACATGAGGAACTATATTAAAGGGTCGCGGCATTAGGAAGGTTGAGACAC